GACCAGCCAACCAGCAGCGATCAACAGTCGTTCTGCAACGACCAGCAGCGATCACCTGCGACGAGCAGCAGCGATCATCTGCAGCGATCAGCGATTATTTGAGACGAACAGATGCGATCATCTGCGACGACCACCATCGATCCCCTCCCACGACCTGCTGCGATCAACTTTTGTTAACTTCAAATTGATTAACCTTTCCGTATACTGTCGGTTATAATACTACGGGAGGTTTCGACACCGGGCTAGACCACGATGTACACAACGGCTGCATATCAACGTTCCAAACGTGGGCACAACCGGAACAGCCGCACCTCAACTTCTCAACTGTCGACATGACCGGGACGCCGCATAAATTCTTCCGACCGTCGCCACAACCAACCCAACCGGCGACATGACGGTATCTCAACTTCCTACCATCAACACAACCGGACCGACCGCACCTCAACTTCCAACCATCGACACGAGCAGTGCAACCACCCATCAATTACCAGACCATCTAAGCCATGACCAATCAGGTCAGCTTTTTAAATAAATTTGCATTAATCTTACATATCCTAGTTCTATTGTCCATTTTGTTCCACCTGTCCGGATTTCATGACTTTAATTCGAAAATGTTAGTGGGCCACTTGTGACCTCTTACCGTGCCGTTTCACATCACGTGCCCCGCCAAGGGGTCCACTACAAATTCTTGATTAGAGAAAGAACATATTTAGAAATATTTGTGATATTCCGTTACGATTCGTCTCCAGAAGACGGCACTAGAATTAGGTAACAAAAGAAAAAGTACTAAAAAATAACCGTAAGCATTTTCTATACAAAAAGATAGAACTACGTTATATTTACGGGAAAATGCGAGTTATGTTCATTTAATAGCTGCACATATCCGAAAATGTGTAAGGAATAATACAGTGTCGTGTTTGTGTGTGTGTCTATATATATATATATATATATATATATATATATATATATATATATATATATACAGATAGATAGATAGATAGATAGATAGATAGATAGATAGATAGATAATATTAGTGGTAAATATACATACGTATGCAAAATATATAAATACCCATACATGTATATTTTTAGAATAAAAATTCAAGAGGAAGAATACAGGGCAGAGTAAGGATATAATAAAAAGGCTTAAACAGTAATATTCAATGGTCATAATTTATTCAATTGGAATCGTAAATACGATCGAATTCATCAGACCTACAAATTCAAAATGAAAACAGAAAAAAAAACACTCCGGAAAAAAAAAATAGAATTTAGAGAGAGTGTAAGTATGAGGGGGAGGGAGATTAAACCTTAGCAGAGAGAATATTAGGAGAGGTGGATGGAACAGGGGGAAAAAATTATATATATATATATATATATATATATATATATATATATATATATATATATATATATGCATGAGCAAAATGGGAAATACACGTTGAACTTGGAAATCTAGAACGCTGCATAATCTGTAAAAATAAACAGAAGAGTTTGCATTTACAGAAACACATATACATACTCACAGACAATTTAACCCCCTTAAGATTTTCTCAGATGAGAATCAATGTACTTGGAAAAATAAAAAATATTTGAGTGAAAATTTTCTTATTTTTGATATTATTTTTCTAACGCTACCCAGATATTAATCCGCTAAATTGAATAGGGCACAACTAAAGCTAATCGACATGATATATCTAAATTATTTAACGAAACCTCCCTCCGATATATATATATATATATATATATATATATATATATATATATATATATATATGTATTAAAAATTTATGCTATGTATAGGAACATATCAGTAACAATTCAATTTTTCCCTTTTAGCGTCATGAAATTACCAGGACGCACGACATTCAGTCACGTGATAAACCAAGCAGATAAGTACATAATTCATATTGTTTTTGGTAAACAATCTTTAAAAGAAGAATCATGCTATATGTGTATTAAGAATTTCAAATGCAGAACACACACACACACACACACACACACACACACACACACGTGTGTGTGTGTGTGTGTATAAGGGTTTTTCGACGAAGATTTTGTGTTTTATTTGAATTTTTCATATATTTATGTTTTAGAATGTTACATTCAATTTGTAAATGAGGTCGATGTTTCATATCCCGCACAATAACAACTTAGTATGAAATCGATTATATTTTTGAAGAAATCATAGTAAATTTTAATCGACATTGTTATTATGGCATTGTGCAATTATTTCACATTATTTGACTGCAGATCAGATGGTCACAATATATGAGAAGGAAAACAGATTAGTTGAGCGTAATCAATTCTCTATCTATCCAATTCATAAACAATGAATTTTTGCGCATATTTATATAGAATAATCTATCTATCTATCTATCTATGTTTTTGCGTGTGTGCTTGTGTGTGTTTGCGTTTGTGTGAGTGTGTGTGTTTGTTTGTTTTGGTTTCGTGCGTTTGTTTGTCTGCGTGTTTGTGTGTGTTTGTTTGTGTTTATTCTGCATAAATTCAATGATGTGATTTCACTTATGTGATGAGCCTAAAGTATTTGGGAGCTTACAGGTTAATGCTCGCATTTTTAGAGGGTATTGTACTCTCAATACAAAGAGCATTTTACATGCACATGATTATAATCTGCGCAAGGAAAATGACTCTGAAATTTCTTTTTAATCCCGAGAGCAAAATTGTAACGTAGGGTAACAGAAAAATCCCAATATCGGAGTTTGGCGTGATGTTTTCTGATTCAATATTTTTATCACTTAAACTGTTCACTCACACGTTCAACTTTTGATCGATCATTTTTTCGCCAAGAGGGAAAAATGTATTCAATTTGCAGACAGAAGTTACATAATGCTGGCCATAACGAACAACTATTTACTAAATCAAATTCCAATATCTTGTTAACACATCGGCTTCTAAATCAGTCCTTATCGAGTGGTCAGCCATCAATTCAGCATTCAGTCAAGACATTAGGACTCTGGCCTAAAATGAAGCGAATCAACTTATTGAATATTATACTTGATTATGATGAACGAGGAGAATTATATAAGGGTCAAGTCATTAATGGTACAATTCATATATCGACACTCCGGAATTATGTCTGACTTTCAGACCGGCAAGTAAAATTTTATTATGGGGAATTAGAGAGTCTGTAAATTAGGAAGAAAAAGTTTCAGTTCTGTTGTAAACTTTGGCACTCGAGTTAAATACTTGGCTAATGGTTCTTAAATTGTTAATCTTCTTTACAGGTTAATCTACAATTACATTAAGGAATCAATAATTTGGTAAAAAATGGCATTTCTATTTTAGGATTGATATTATGTTCGTATTCTCCTTAGTTTTGTTATTTTTTCGACATGAATGACACAAAGAAAATGTAAATATTATTAAGCGTTCTTATTTTTTAGTATTAATATTATGTAGGATTTACTTTATTACATGAAAAATTATCAACTCCGGATTAATTAGTTCTAATATCTTTTACTTAAAATTATCAGTATTTCTTCACATCTATTCAGAGAGAGAATTCAGATGATGAACGTTAACAGCGTGGATCAAACAGCATTGTTGTTAAAACGTATTCTCATCCCTTCTGCTTTGTAATATCCTTCATTTACATCTACGTTAAAGTGGCATCAACGACGAATCAACGGTTGACCGAATATTTAATGTAAACATACTGCTAATTTTTTTTTTCTGCAGTTTACACGGACGCATATCTCTGTGTAATAATATTTTATTTTTGATAGATTTTTTTTATAAATAATTATAAACATTTTGTTTTTGAATCTTCAAATGAAAAGCAAATAAGCTCACGAAAAAATGTTATTGAAACATAATCGTTGTTCGTAATGCTTTGTAATGTTTTGGAATATGTCAAAAATATGAATTTCTGGGCAAAATGCATACGCGATATTTGCTGTACAATGTTAATCTAACTATCTATTTAAGTTTATAAATACACCCGAAATGTTTATACCACACCATGAACTCCCTTAGCGAATTGAAATTTAAGAGGTACTCCTATGTTTATATCATTACTAGCAGCATGGTCCGGTGTTGCCCGTGCTTAATTAAAAAATCGTACGACTCATACAGCAATCGGTATCACTTGACTTAAAATAGTTTTGCCGTTCCTTGCCATTAAAGGAGTCCCCTTTGCCGTGCTGATTTTGCTACATCCCTTACTTCTTGCCTATCTCACTCTGCGAATTTATTCTAAGCTCTATACTAAACATTAAATCTGTTACGAAAAAAGAACTAAACAAAGTGAACACAAAATGATCAGCCTTAAAAAAGGACTCGTAACTGGAAAAACCGAATGAAAAAACAATGTTAACAACAAATAATTTTTCCCACCCAAACCAGTTTCCTGAAATATTGAGACTGGTCATACTACTTGCGCGGGGTTGTTGTTGCCCTTGTTCTGTTAACCCGGTACTTTGGAAACCATACATTGATCCGATTTTAAGTTCAAATAAAAATTGCTAAAAATGTTTAACGACGCTAAGTCAACTGCACTGAGTCCAAAATGAGGTGAAAAGTTTAGATGTACTTGGCCGCGTAGTGCAGGCGAGACATTCAACTTAAAACCCCGAAAATCCGTATCACCTGTGAGTTAATCGGTTTTTTAACAACGTTTGAGTCCCAAATAAAAAATCGGTCTCCGGCATGACACAAAGACGTAAATTGAAAAATTAGATCTTGGATGTTGCCTGGGAGAATGAACAAAGTTTAATGAAGTGGAAAATGGACTGTTGAGGGCATGGTCAACACGGAGGTTTGTATGGATTATTGAGTCACGACGTGGTCACACGGCATTCTATGGAAGGCACCTCTAACTGGGCCGCGTACGAATTTCTGGTTGAATTGTAAAGAACGCCCGAAATTTTAGAATGTAACCGCCCATTTTGTAGAACGCCAATGTGGTACCCATCTTCTCCGTAAGGGAAGAGAAGTTGGTATTGCAGTGCATCGTAGGACCGGTGCATTTCAATGATTCATCGGGGCCCACTGCCGCGCGATTCGATAACAATGTCCCGTCTGTTGTGCTGATCACCGCTGACAATGACGGAATCTTCGTTACTTGCGGGAGCATTGTAACGACGTTCGTGCTCTCCCTGAGGCCATTTGTCAGCATCAATTTCAATAATGAAATCAGAAGAAGTGTTATTTTCGAGGGCATACTTAAGTCTGCGGACATAGCTGTTTGTCTCGTGGATCATTTGTTGGAGACTCATTATGATATCCCTGCGAGGATGATTGTCCTGGCCTGTATCGTTCTCAGGAATAATGCCCATGCAGGCAACTGCCTGTTGATTGTAGTCAGCTATGAAGTATATTTGTAGAAGGGCCGAATCAGTGGCAGTTTCCGGCAAAAGAGACACAATCCGGTGGTAAACCTGACTTTGAACCTTGAAGGTGGGATTCCAACCGACTTGGCGGAGGGCATTACCACCAAAAGAGGTCATCTGGAAGGCACAATTGTACTGTCTGATTTTTGCGAGGAAATGTTTGGAGTCTGGACTGGAACCATCCAACAGAGCTTTCAACGGAACAGGTAGCTCTTGAAAAGGTGGCAACTGTACCTTACCGTCTGAACAACACAAACTCTCCAGGCCATTTTGTGGCATTGCAATGCCCAAAGACAACTGACATGGATCCTATTTGGAGGTCTTTGCGAGCGGAAAACCTCAAAACTGGCTCATAGTTGAACGCCAGCTTAAACCAAAACTGCTTTGGTGGGCTACAGAGCCATCGCTGTGCATGGCGGTGCTGGTTAACAGTCTGCACCCTTTCAAGCTTTTCAGTAGGTGCTTCTACAGCTCTAGCAGCGGAAGTTGAAATTGCATCGTGTTGCCGCCTTGTGCACTTTTCCGCGGAACTTTCCGACGCCGTTGCAGCAGAAGTTGCAGCGGCGTCGGCTGCATGGCGTGAGGTTCTCTCAACCATGGATTCCTGGGACCGTCGAATGGACGTTGCCGCAGCTTTCGCTGCGTTACGTGCGGTTTTCTCAGCCGTAGTCTGCTGGGACCGTCGAATGGATGTTGCAGCGGCGTCGGCTGCATTGCGAGTAGCTTTTCGATGGCGGGCTCTGTCGAGACCGCAAAAGCGCTTGTGATGAAGCTGCTTTTTTTTTTGTCTTTCAAGCGTTTAGGTAGTTTCCTCTTACATTTCAACGAATATGTGTAAACTGATTTACAGTACAAACGGTAGTTATGCTCACCAAGCGTTTCATGTTGAGATTGACTGGAAAGCCTCAAAGAGGCCTCTACCTCGGTTTCCACCTCCCGCTTTCTCTTTGCCGCAGAGGCTTTTTTAGAACGCCTGCTAAAGTTGCCTCGCCATGGTATTTTGGCACGCTTGGGAAAGCTGCCGGGTCGGTCATCGCCACGGCACTCAGAAGAGTGCAAAGCAGAGGTTGAAGTAGAAGCCAGCCGCTTCTCCCCCAAGGAGGCGCATTCAATGGAATCCTGCTCCAGTTTCCTCTTAGCCGGTGAGGCTTTCTTAGAACGCCTGCTAAGGTTGCCTCGGCTGGGTGTTTTTCCAGCCTTTTCAGAGCTGTCGGTTTGGTCATCGCCACGGCACGCAGAAGAGTACAAAGCAGAGGTTGAAGTAGACGCTTTATGATCATCTGTAACCGGAGTTATTATGTGCTCCTCCGCAGTCGCCTGTTCTGCATGAGTAACGTTAACGGTATTAGAGGTCTTCAATTGCTGACGTGCGGATGTTCGTCGTGTAGGAGCCATATTGAAGGGTTGTAGAAATGCTGTGTAAGAATGCGAATAGAAATTGATGCCGAATCTGACGCTGTGCAATCTCGTTGTATACGAAAACTAAAATGCAGTGGAACGGTATAGAAAAAGCTTTTCCTAGCTAAGATGGACTGGGCTGCACAGGAGAGGCAGCACGCGGAGATAAAATGGGTAATGCAAACGTTTAAGCAAATAGGTAACTTGCGTTAGCAGCAAGCTGTCAATTAATCCAAGGACAGATACGTTAATGGCGACCAAATCAAGACGTGCGTGCGGATGCAGCCGCGCTGAAGGTATTTAAAGGGAGCGTGTCTTGTCATTGATTGGTGTAGCGTGGATAATGGCCATGACTTAGACCAATGAATGAGCTCACGCAAAATGGAAGATGCTAGCGCGCATTCACGCACGCGCGCATGATTTGGCATGCGCAAGGCTTGTCTGTAAACGGGGTCAAGCCGCCTGCTGCATATGCAGCTTGGCTCTAACGCACGTGATGCCGGCAATGAGAATGCAAGGAGCTGCAATGAAGCGTTTGCTCGTTTGGTTTGTGCGACAACGAAAACCTTTAACCGTTTGCCGGCATTAGCTTTGAAATGGATTGGGAGGAAGCCCTGCTGTTTTTGCGCAAAAACTCCTCTTTAGGTCTGGGATGCGGCCTGTGCTAGGGGGAAAAATTTAAAGAATTGGAAAATGAACTGCTGAGGGCGGAACCATTTTCACTCAGCATGTATGCGGTTTTTTTTCAGTAAAGACGCGAATAAAGGAAGTTCTTATTTTGGTAAGATGCGAAAGTCGAATATATCATTTGTGGCTCAAAGTCAGACCTGGTAACAGGGAGAAAAAAAGCCGAATTTCAATGGCCCTGCACCCATTCCAGAATTTGAGGTCAAATGTTTTCTTCCACTCCACTGCATGCACTGACCTGTTTCTTCCCGCGCATAGCGTGACCTGAAATTAATCTGCATTTAGGAAATACCCAACCGGAAAAACATTTTTAAGGGTTGACCGATTGTCGATTTGCACTCTGTTTGGGAGGCGCTCAGAGTTGAAACTTCACATCGTGACTCCCAATGGCCTCCTCATAAATCCGGTCGGTTTTCGCTAAAAACCGACATGCGTTTCAGGCGCAATCTGGGCGTATCGGTTTTTGGGTTTTATCGATTTTCCGTGCTGCTTAGGGTTCCGTGGTCATGAAACTTCTGGACAACAATTCTAATGGTAGACTCTAAGAGGGTGTCAAATTTGGTCGAAATGCGATCATTCCTTCTGTAAACAGATTTTTTTTGATTATCGATTTTTTCGATTATCGATTTTTTTCGATTATCGATTTTTTTCGATTGTCGATTTTTTCGGAACCTGAGTCCGAACTAAAAAATCGGGCTCCGTCAAGTCCTTACGACAGCCATTTGCAAACTTGTGGTTAAAACCGCATCGAAATCGGGTGAGAAATGCGGCCTGGGCGAGGAAACAACACCCACGACAGACACACAGATAGACAACATGAGAAATATAGATAGTAGATTACTGAATTCCTCATGGGAGGGATTATTTCAAGAATACAATTTTCAAAAGATCTAGAAAATGTGGGATAATAAACTCATGCGTTGAAGCCATTTTCTGTCTTTTTCTACGGACAAAAATAATCTGATGACGCCTCTATCTCCATTTATAATCAAGACAAACAGTGTGGGACTTTAGCAAAGCATTCTCGGTAACGCTTCTTTTACTTCGTCGAATTTCATTCTCGTAGATAGTATATACGCAATATTTCACCTTAGATTACATATATTATAAGATTATAATTCTCTTTATTGTCTCCATGAACTTGTTTGAAACAGTGTACAAAACGTAATATTTGCAATATTCTGAAATTCTTGAACATACTACATAATTTGATTCATTACATTAGATATATTATTTCGAGCTCTATACAAAGTTGAAACGATTCTGGAAAATTCCCTTTCAGTTCTATTTCTTTAGTCGCTTTAGATATGATGTCAGTCACATAATTATTGATATGCAAATGTCTATAAAATATATACGGAATTTGATCTTGCATCTATTTAAGGAAAAATAATAAACACAGTTTGGTGAAACATATTCTACCTTGAGTTCTATGCGAGGAATAATTGGATTGTCTAATTATTGTTTCCAAAAGTTAATTTCATCGTGCATTATTGGATACTATATTTCACCTAATAGTAGAATATATTTGAAGACTATGGATGCGTTGTCTGTGGTCCTTGGTTAGTGTGTTATTCATTGCAATTAAATTTGCAATTCTCCATCTTCTTTTATATTCGTCAAACGTCTTCATTTTAAAATCCCAAATGTTGTCAAGACCACCTGGCTTGTATTTTAGAGTAGAGACTGTTAAGAACTTTTTCTTTTTTGCAGAGACTAATGAAATCTGAATCTTTTTTCTTCAACGTACCAAAGTTAATTTGATTCTGTTAAATGGAGAATATGGATCACCTCTTAAAACCTATCCAGTTATATATATTTTTTTTTAAATTATGGACTTTGAACTTCCATATTTTGGTTCTTCCAAAATATTATTTTATGTCATACCGAGTGACGGTATATCTATCCAAAATATAGAAATCTTTAAAGCTCTCTTTTCCGTTGAGCGTCCTAATTATTTCTCTTTGGTTATTTTAATTTATATAGTTGTTTCAAATTTTTTGTTGGTCATGAGTATCAGCGTCACATTCCATTCTAATATATTGACTTAGTGAGATGGTTATTTGAATGAGATTCGTGAAACCTTTTCTTTCTATTTTCGGTAAATATACCAAGATCCCCGATACACACACACCCAAACTCTCTCTCTCTCTCCACCCCCCCACACACACATATATATATATATATATATATATGACGTCGGCTAAATTTCTGTAGTCTATGTGGATCTCTAATTTGATAGATGTTATAGAAGATGGTTCGTCGATTTCAATTGTATGAGGAATAATAGTGAGAACTCTGATGAGCCATGAAAGATATGTTACTGCTATTTGTGAGTTGTGAATTGCTAAGATTGTTCGTCGGAGATATGACGCATTCCGCAGGAAAGTGGTGTATCCAAACAAAAATTCGAAAATTGCTTTTTCCACTGCAAATTATTCTTTATATAATATCCAAGTATTTTACAAAATTTAACAATAGTTCAAGTTAAATTTAGGTTTATAGCTGGTAACCCTGCAATGAGATGTGGTAAAATAAAATGTTGATTTGTCTGCGGAATATCATTGCATTATTGGTACATAACTATAGTGAAATCATTAAGGTATGTTTTTTATCCAAAGCATTTTACATTTAGTCGTATATCAATTTAAATTTTCCGTTTTTACAGGCTTTTTTTTATATGGAATAAGTTCATTCTAAATTTCAGAATTTCGCTATTACCTTCAAAATGACTGGAAGAAAGCGATCTAAAAACAACAATGGAAAAGAGAGGTGCTAAAACATAAACATAATTGCACCGCGTGTGCTCGTTAGGTTATTTGCCATTGCAAGCACTGTATTCGAAAATGCTACTAAATATAACTGAGAAAATGAAAGATACATAACAACCTATCGAATAATGCATCAAAGTTATATTATTTTTATCTATTTGTTATGTAAATAAATACATAATTGTCGACAATGTTTTCGTAAAACTTGACACTTCCTGTAATAAACTCTTAATAAATATTATTATCGCCATTATTTTATTCAAGGGTAAGTTAGTCCTGCATTACAATTCCTTAAGGAAGAAATGTTCATCAAACCTGAATAAAACCTTTAAACGCGTATTACTTCAAAATTATCAAATGTTGCTAAGCCACTGCTCAGCCATACGCGTCATATCATGGGTTGATTTCTCTGTGTACCATCAC